TGTGAATGAGATCAGTGACGGTCTCTCCCTAGACTTCTCTGGGATTAAATTCAAGACAGACTTGCAGAATATCCCAGTGAACACAGTTCCTTCATTCCCAGTAATTCTTTAGCTGAAATTCCAAGAAGGGCAGACTGGAGCACTTTGTAAACTTTTGAATAAGACAAAGTCCATCATATATTTTATCAAAATTCTTTCAACTTCTAATGGCTTAAACCAGTATTTTACTTGAATTTTGCAACATATTTTTTTGCCATTCCAAGAGAAAGACAGGAGCGTGTTCCTTCTGCTCTTTTTTCATTAAAATGTTTTAAAGATCCGTTATAGAGAAGAATCACTACCTTAATCTGTATTTGGCTAATTAAGGACACCTCAAAACGTGTGAGAGCATTAGCCACAATCTCACCAAATAGAAATGTTTAAAATCACTGGCCTGCATTAGGAGCTTTCTGAGATTTCTAAATATGTTCCACTGTCCTGTCATACTTTTGTAAATATTTTTCATCTCAGACAGGATTGCTTCTGTATCAAGTTAGAGGCTGTATTCCTACTCACTGCTTTCTTGGGTATTTTTTCCTAACAGTATTTTTTTTTTGTTTCTGATTTATTCTTATTTATTTTGAGCTTATGGAGTAATCCACAACTGACTTTGCTGTCAGCAAATTTCATTTGTGTGTGAATTCCTCACTCTCGTTTCATAAGCTTGATTTATGTCTTGCCTTTGAACCTGTTCATTTCATCTTGTACTTAATGTGAATTTGAGACAGAGCTGTACTAATTTGTCATCTTTTGCTACATAAAGTTTTCTTCTCTGTGCTTCCCCCTTTTCATTCATTTTGAAATGTTCAGCTTAGAGTAAGACTAACAACTGACTGTTGATTTCCTCTTAATACTTTTAATATTTAAAATTTACGTAGGCTATTTAAAAAGCTAAAAATTTGGCCACCCTAAGGCTTTTTCCTGGTTGGACTTGATGAACCTGTTGGGTCCCTTCCAGCTTGGAATCCTCTGTGATAATCTGTGATAATTGGGAAAATCAACTGCTAAAAAATAATGAATACAGAGGCACCTGCTTGGCATGGTCCTGCTTATTATATGGGAATATAAATGTAGTCAAAAGGAGGTGATTGGTAATTAATTCCATTAGAAAGAAATCGGAGTCTCTAGGCTGTGATGTAAAACACTCTTTACATCCTTGTGATGAGCTGTTGAGGCAGTTTTCTTTCTAAACTGAATTTCTTTCAAGGGTGTATTCCATTGAGTTAACCTCTGTCTTCAGCAGTCCTGAGCAAATTTTTGGCATGATTTATTCTTTAATTACTTATTTGGATGGGTTTTCTGTGAGGCTTCTTACTTGGCTAATAGTTAGATATGAAGTTAAGTCTTAGCCACACAAGAGGTTTGAACTGTAAGACAGAGCAGCCCAGAGGTTCATTTTACCTTTAATACATTTAATTTAGTGAGATTTTGCAGAAATGGTTTTGGAGCAATAGAAGTTTTATCATTAAAGAAATAATAATGTTTTTTTATAAAGGGCTTATTGATATGCCCTTACCTTGTCCCACAAAAGATGTTTGCTCAGGTGTTGCCTTCAGAAGCTGTTTTCCAGTTTGGCTTGTGGACCTAAATAATTATTAGATATACCATGGAGAGTGGAGGATTGCCAAGAAATAGATGAGCAATGGAAAGTAAAAGCAGGGAAAGAATATGAAGTGAAGTCCAAAGTGATAAATTTTCCAGGACAGAATGCAAGAAGAAAAAAGATTAAAATAATGAAAATTAGTCATTATATCTTTGACAGCTTTTGTGGGATAATAGAAGTACATGTTACAGAAAGATATTGAAATTTGAAGAGCTTTTTTTATTAGGATAATCCTGGTTTTATGTGGGACAATGTTCATTTTCTTGTTGGTATCTGGTATATGGGCAATTCCATAACCCTGGAAACAAATCTTTCTGAATAGACTCTGCACAAGGAAGAAATATTGTTTCATTCATCCAAAAATTAGATATAATTATCAATACTGTAAAACTTTGTACTCTGCTGCAAAACACTTTATAGAAATAAAAGTCTTTGAGAAAGGTTTGCATTGTAAGTAGATAAGCAATTAAGGAAAAAGAGTTTGTTACCATAACAGCTTCTTTTCGACCCTTTTATTGAACATAAGAATCTCAGAAGTACCTCATATTTTAATGGCATTTCACAGAGTTTTAAAGTAGACAGAGGAAGTGATACATAAAACCACTCTTCATATTTAGTTGAAAAAACTACACATTCAGCTTCTGAAAAGCAATTTTCTTTTTGCTGTATTTAATTTCTTCTTTGCCCCTTTTGAAAGTCAGCAAATATAAAGAAAAAAATTTTAAAAGGTACTTATTTGCCACTTCCTGGCTCTGTTCCAGGCTCCTCCTTCTGTGTGTGAAGACAGCAAGAAGATGGTCCTGCTACTGGTCAAAAAGATATTGTGAATGTTGGAAGGGCTTATTGGTAACTTCTAATAGGGCTGAATGGGGGCTTTTTAATAGTTACAGCCTTGGCTGGAAGAGGCAGCAGAGCTAAAACCAGACTCAAAGCAATGACAGAAAGTTCCTCACAGCAGCTTGTCCTTAAAACCAGCGGGGAGGCTGTTGTTGAGCAGCCTTGGCAGGACAGCGCTGTGCGCGCCCTTTAACATGCGCTGCTTGCTCACCATCAGCTTGATGCCAAGGTCTGTTCTTGAAAAGCATTAAGCTCTCTGCTCCTGCATTCAGTAACCATGCACTGTTGTCCTACCACTGCTGAAGAACATGTAAAAAAACCCCAAAAGTGGTGTTTCCTATTTCCTATTAAAGAGTTCAGAACTTTGAAGCAGCCTTCTCTGAAGCCTGACAAGCGTGTGCTTCTGGTGCTGCGTACCTTGAGTTGGGAGAGCATTCTGATATTTAATTTTGGGTTTTTCCCTGCTCTAGTACAGCAATGTTTGCCCTTTCTTTAGCTGGAATAACTGTGTTGAGTTATTCAGCTGCACCAGGGGAGCCTCAGGGGAGCAAAACCCGTTTGTGTGTTTGGACAGAAATTTCCGCGAGGTACGGGAACAAAGATGATGGGATCTGACAGTGCCCACTGGGGACACACCAAACTCATGGACAGCAGTAGGATCTGGAGTTTGGTCACAGCATAAACAAAGAGTGTCTAAAACCATCCATCTACCACTGTGACAGTCCCCTGGAGCTGCTCCCTTCACCTTTGTTAATCACATGCAAAGGATCAGGCTGAGACAAGAAGAGAGCAGATCCCTTCTGGCCACAAACTGATGCCTTCAAGGTTTACACTGCAGTAGCTTCAGCAGAAAATCTGTTAAGTTCATAGTTCATTCTCAGATTCCCTTTATTGGCATGTAGTTCATTACTGCTATCTGTTGGATGAGCTTTTTTTTTTTTTTTTTTTTTTGCAGTTAAATCAATCATTAACACCCTATGTTGGGTGTGAAGGGCATTAGGATATCTTACAGCTGCACATTTTAGACATCTGGACAACACTGATTATGAATGGTTCAGGTGTAGATGGGGATTTCTTTTTTTTCTGCTTTAGCTTTTTCCTTTTTTTTTAAATTAGGGTCATGTATCTTATGCATGTCTTGTGAGTATGTCCTGTCTATGCCAGTCCTGCTGCAACAGGACCAGAGTAAAGGAGAGTAGTTTAATGGTGACAGTAAAAAGGAAAAGAGATTCTGACCCTTCTGAGATGCATTACTGAGAGTGAATAAGAAGAGGAGATTGGTGGGATAAGATCAGATTTGGAGAGGGGAAAGGTTAAATGCAAGAAAGGAAAAATGCAAGAAAGGCTTTTTCACTGAAGTCCTCCATCTTATGAAGGGTGGTGCTTGCCTGTTTATGCATAAAATTTCATTTTGCTGAGGCATCAGGTATCTCTGGACTGGTTTACCCCTCATGAACCATATTAGGATGATGGAGACACGTGTGTGTATGCATGCTATATGAATATTAGGTCACTATATGAAAGAATCTAAATTCTGCCAACAGTGTGACAACAGATAACAAACTTTGTGCTGAATCTTTATTTTTTCCTTATTGAACAAATTTCCTTTTCCTGTACTCTCAGTTCTTGCAGTCCTCGAAGATGTTCTGAGCTTCTCCTTCCTTTAATTGATTAAGAGGTGACAAATAGCATATCTCCAAGGAAGACCCAAATTAAAGGCCACATTAGTGCAGAGTCTTCAGCTCAGTACAGGATTATAATAAACTTTACTCCTTGTCTCTACTGAGAATAGCCACCAGCCTTTTCAAGTTTTTTTTTCACCCTCCTAAAGTACAAAATTGGTAAAGCTCATGCAAGGCTTAGGGCTTGGGTTTAGCAGTTCTGTGGATTCTGCTGCTCTCTCACTCCTATCCTGGCTGACAAATCTTTAGTGGTAATAGCAGCTCTCTCTCCTTGACTATTATTTCAGAAGATGATTTAAGAAAGCACTTAATAGCCTTAATGAGGACAGTAAATGATCCCAGTGGAACTGATATGCAAATATTTTTTTAGTGCCCTGCTGAATCAGGTTTGCAAGTCTCATTTCTAACCTCAGTGGTAGAACCACAATTTTCCTGCTGCTAACCACTATCCCTCACCAAAGAAGGTTCATTTGGGAACAACTAATGCTTTCCCAATAACCTACAAGGCACTCCAGCTGAACATTTCTATGCTTAGTAAATATTCAGTTGTTAAGAAGAATAATGAATCCTCAAGTGTACATAAGAATGATTTATTGCATAATGTGAATTTACAGCCCATTACGGGAAATAATTACATTCCACTAATTACAAAACTTAATAGTCACTCCAGCCTAGGAAACAGCAGCGTGAGCAAGCAGATTTGCAGCCATGCATTCAAAGGAATGAACTACATGAGAAGCAGTTAGCTGAAAATCAGTTTACCATTTAAACCCAGCTCAATTCAGAGATCTAATTCATGGCAAAGTTGTTTTGAATTAGGTTTTTTTCCCGTGGTCAACTTTTCTAAAAACTTGGAGGAAATGGGATCATTAGAGAGAATGAGAGCATATTAGGAAAGTTCATCAGCCTTCAGATTCACCATATTTCTGATAGAGTCCCTCAGGAAGAAAAAAAAGACTTTTTTGCCCTTGGTGTGGGTGGTTTTCATAATGAGTTTGTAATAATTTGCTTTCCTCTATACAGTGCAAACACAATCCTGTGTCAGGTCCTGTTGTGCACACTGGGCAGGCAGTGCAAGGCTTGGTTCTCTCCTTTGGGCTGAGGAAATGATGGGTAAGTGCCAGAATCAATTCTGTAAATCTGCACAACAAAGGGCAACAAGTCTTCCTGGAGATTTCCAGCTGAAATGTAGGCAGTACTTATTTTACTCTTTGAGCATTTATTTTACTCTGTCAGCATCTTGACAAGGCTGCACAGGGTGGTGTGGGCTGCAGGCTCTGCAAGTGAGATATGGAATTTAGGAGACAGATTTTAGAGCAGGATCTGTTAAATTAAACAGGAAAATTGCCAAGGACTATTTCAGTTTGATAGAATGGCATCTAATAGGAAGTGGAGCATGTTAATTGACATAAAGGTTTTGATGCTTAGTAAAGTGAATGTGATGCAAAAAGAAGAGCCACCCATTATGTGGAGTGGTCTGTTTAACCTTCAGAGTGACTCTTGTGGGTTTTAAAAATAATTTCTTGGCAGATTATTTGTTTTGTCCTGGACTTGAGAAATTAAAACCATCTTCCACTGACCAAAAAAGTTCCAGTTTAGCAAGATCCAGACAGGAACAGCAGATTGACAGCAAATTGTCAATCAGTGTGCAAATAGTGGAGAGTGTATGGCAAAACTGTTGTTTTTTGGATGCATGCACATTGCAGAGGAGGTTAAATGATAATACTGTCCAAAGCTGATAAACTCTCTTGGAGAATAAGATAATTTTAAGAGGACAATCAGTTGCCCAAGGCTAATTTAAACTGCAACTTTTGCTTCCATAACTTAACAAATTCTCATCAGTGTGAAACTGGAAAAGCCATGTTTGGGCTACTAATGGGTACCAGATACATTCACAGGTTTGAAAATTCTGCTTTTGATCTTATCAAGACATAGGAGAAATGTAGTCTTTTTGTAAGTCTAGAACACACAAAATATTGTTATGTATTTGTAGCCAAAGGCATTGTTTCAAAACATAAGTCCCATGACAAGTTTCAGTGGGTTTGCAAAAACTGATCAGGGATTGAGGGATTTTTTTTTTTCTTCTTAAAAATACTGTAGATTTAAGATTTTACCAAAGGTGGGTTTTTTTATCTACCCACATCAAGTGAATATTATTTCAGAATGAAAACATATGTCATTAAATGCCAATTGGCCTCAGCTCTAGCCAAGCTAGTTGATGTAAATGATTTTCATCTCTATCTCTCATCTGGTGCTTTCCTAACTTGCTTGCCATAAAATTATCAATTAAGTAGGAATGCCAAAAAAGACCTACCTGTAATTCTTAGTTAATTAGTCCAATTCCATCAGGTGCTAGGATTTATAGCTCCTGTATGGAAAATGGATTTTTCTTTTCTGCCTGCTAATCCACATGCAGATGGAGATAGCTGCAGTTCTCTTTCTGTGCAATTTTGGTGTTGGCTAATCATTTAAAGGAGCTTTTAAAAATGGGAGAAGCAAAAAAGATGCATCAAAACCAGGAGGGAATTCAGATATATGGTGGTATTTGCATGTCTGTTCAGGAAGTGCAAGCCTAAAGTTATCTTTTCCAGTCCATACATTCCCCAGGATTACAAACACAAGACTGAAGTTGTTCAGTTTTACCTCTGTTTACAAACTGGCTGCACCAAATTGCAACATACTTGAATAAATATGTTTTTGCTGTTGATTTAAATAAATACTTGCAAAACAAGGAGGTCAGATCCCAAGTTTAGAGTACAAATAGTTCAGCAGTTCAGGACTCTTCACTGATATTCACACTTCCTGTAATGACAAGCAGCCTAAATGTGGTTTCTGTGTCCTAAATGGGTGACTATCACTTACATCAAGGTTTTTTGGCATAAAAGGTTAAATAGAAAGATTGTTTCTACATCAGGTAACCTTGCCAGTGACTTCCTCTTCAAACTGAAAAATAGATTTTACTCCAGCTGCAGCAAAAGCTGCTCACCTCATTGATGGATGCATCCAGTCAACAGCTGGGGAATGATACAGTGAAGGACCATTCAAATGATTTAGCTGATATATGAGCACTGGCCCAAAATTTATGGCTGACAGAGAAAGGACTGACCAGGCTATGAGACAGCCAGGATTTAAGTCCATGGTTTTTCTGCTGTTATCGCTGCAGGATGCTGTTAATGTCAGCCTGCCACTCGTTCTGTAGCCTTGCTACTCATGCATTTTAGAATATTTGGTTGCATCCTGTGCCATTGGAGCTGCAGAGGTCACATGCCTTAAATATAGTCTTTATTTATTATGTAGACTCTGTTTCTCCTCAGCAAGGGCTTCTCTTCAAAGTCTTTAACTTGATACCCACTTAGATTACAAGCAAATATAGAAAAAGTTTTTTACATAGCATGTACCCAGGGTAAGTACCCAAGGTTAAAATGGAATATTGCTGTGATAAAGATGGATGTAAAATTCACCAATAAAAGAACTGTAGAGGGGCTTACAGTTAAGCTACCCATAAATTTCTTTGCCCCAAGACCCATCCTGTAGACTCCCTATTTATTAAACAATCAGTATATATTTCAAACTATGCCATTTGCACAACTCAGCAGATTTTCTTTTACCCTTTCCTAAGGTCACAAACTCAGCAAAACTGAAACTTCAGCAGACCTGAGAAAGATCATTATTGGTTTTCATTCAACCTTAATTTAAGGATGGATGTGAAATTATTAGCTGGTTTCGTGTCTGCTGCCAGGCAGGTGGCATCGTGTGTGTGTGTATGTGTGTGCAGGGAACCCACCCGCCTCACTGTGCCACAATAGTTTCAGCAGCTTATACAATAAAACAGTTTCTGCAGGCAGTGTGTGCACAAATGAGGAGTGCAAAGCTCTTTTAAACTTGCTAATGCACCCAGCAGCTAACTATGAATAATGATTTGCTGGGGTAAACATTAATATGCTCCTCACCTCCTGATGAAATGCCTGATGGGGCTTTGCCAGCCAGGCAGGTGTCAATCAGATGGGGATGTGTCAGTCCCCTCTGCTTCTCAGAACAGGCTGCTCCTCTGCTGCTGCTGAATTAACATCTCTGCTGGCTTTCTCTTAAAGTTCTATATGTTTTCACAGAAAATTTAAAATTTTCCTCTTGAATTTTGTTTAGCTGCCCTTTCTCACAGGCACTTTGTTTATATCTGAGCTATTGATTGTCTCAAAAATCCATTATTACCAGGGAGATCTCAACAGCATTCCAGCTGAAGCTGACAAGCAGATGATGGATTGTTATCATTAAACACTGATACTCATATTTTAAACAGTGCCCCAAACTTTAAAGGATTCAAAGTAGGATTCAAAGTTAGGAAAGTGGAAGACTGGAAAGATTAAAGCTTCCCATGGCTCAGAACTATGGCCAGGTAATGACTAAATAATGAATTCTTCACCAGTGTTTATGAAGGCTTTGGGGCTCCTTGCCTTTGACTATTCTAGAAAGGGAAAGCCTCAGATCCTTTTAGTGTTGTGTAAAGTGTGGTTTTTATATGTAACAACAGAGAAGCAACTTCCAGTCAGGTTTAAACTTGCAAATTTCATCTTGATGCATATTAAGTTCTCTTATCAGCTGGGTGTTTTAATGTTATATTGGAGTTTTAGCATAAGTATAATCTAAATAATTAACAGCAATTTCTTTAGCATGGGTCAGGAAATGTAAATCATTATTTTTATAGAAGAGGAAAAAGTGGTTGTAACTCTGAGTGTAGTTTTACATGAAGCACTTAAACTAGAACTGTGACTATGCATGACAGTGCCAGAAATTGGATTGTGCTTTTATCAAGTATCCTGGTTTCTACTGAAAAAAAATGTCAGCATTACATCTGGCATCAGATTTTTCATTTTCTTTTTTAACAACTGATAACCTGAGGGCTTTGAAAAGGCTTAATAATTTTCAGTTTTTATTCTGCCGTGGTGATCTGATACCATTTCTTTGCACTTTGTTGCTGCAGTATTCCTAAGGCATGCTGCTAAACCACTGTAGCTGGATTTTGGACAGAGTAAGTTTTAATGAATGTTTATTTTAGGCACAAAGCCTAAAGAGAAAAAGAAAAAAAAAGGCAATTTTCTCTCAGACTTTGAAAGCAAATCCACTAACTGGATTTCTCCTTCCCAGTTTACTGCTGAATTTAGATTTGTGCAAATCATTATGGAACATTTCTATTTCAAAAAGAAGACACTTGGTGCCACTTGCTTGCTGACTTGGTTAGAACAGACAGGTGTCTGCTAAGGAAGGCAGGAGCCTCTCTTGAAATGGAAAATATAAACCCTCTCCCTCTGAATTATTATAATTTTTAAATTAAGGGGCTCTCAGGCAAAGATATGGGAATAGGAATAACAGTTCTCTACCAGGAAAATTAAAAATATAAATGCAGTAGTACAAAACAGACAACAAACCACTGCCAGAGTTAGAATAGGACCTGATACCTTGTGTGTCAGGGAGGTGGCAGCAGTCCCATCCCATGGTGGCTCAGCCCTCCTGCAGTGCCAGCTGTGCTTCTGCTGGAGCAGGATCCTGCACAAGGTGGGAGTATTCCTCTGAAGCTCCAGGGCTGGGGGAGATGGGCCTGGGCTCCTCTGGGAATGCAGTGGGGAAGAAAGCTGCTCCTCTGGGAATGTAGTGGGAAAAGGCTGCTTTGGTGTTCCAAATCTCAGATTATATCCAAGTAGAAACTCTTGGCTCCTCCCCCTGGGCAAAGCCTCTCCCAATGAGATGATGGAATTTTATGATAGAATTTTCTCAGCCATGAAGGGACACTCACTGGCCATGAACTGAAGAGATCTCCTGGAGGGAGGATTGGTTGTGGAAGAGAGAAAGAAAACTGCCCCATGAACAGAAGGTAACTGCCCCACCTCTGACAGATGGGAATGGAGTACACACCCCAGCCACATCTTTCAGCCTGAGACATTTGCCAAAGGGACAAACGAGGCTGCTGATGTGGAATGGGAGAGTCTGTGTGCTCTGTGGCAGCAGCTCAGCATTTGCAGGGACACATGCCATGGTTCTGAAGAGAAAACACACCTGCAAATCTGCCAAGGTGTGTGGTGTTCCAGGGGATGGCTCAGCCCCTGCACACAACCAGCCTC